CCTAGTCTGATTAGCGATGACTGATGAGCATAGTTGAGCAACTATGAGATATGTGGATTCTAAACGAAAAATTATTTCTACAAGCAGGAGTAGTTTGTGGAAATACATCTTCAAATGGATCCATTATCTACTTGTTTTAGCAATCCTTGTTATTATTATTTAAAACCTAATTAAGTCGTTGATTAGAAACTTGTGAGTGAAGGACTTTGATATAAATGGTGGGAGCCCCATGCATTGGATCGCCATTGTATATTCTTCAAGTGCAATCATCATATTCCCAATGATAATTCAACATGCAATAACTAACTAGACGTCTAGAAAATGCTTAGACAGTGAAGTTTTCTACTTTTGCAAAAGTGAAGGTAGGGTGGCAAAGTAAGAGTGCATATTAAAAGAATCAATAAACTAATATGACATCGGTTAATATCTTTTTTCACTTATAAATAAGAAATTTCAAGTTCGATTCACACGAATGTTGAGGAAATATAATATTTATGTTGAGCTCACTACCCAGTTACTTAGCTCAGTCATTCATGTTCGTAGAATATTCACTCCATTTAGAGCATAATTCGGTTGTAACAAAAAATAAAATAAAAAAATAATACAATATAATAAATACTAGAGATAACAATTTAGAGCATTTTCAGAGAAGTCAAAAAGTCTATATTAGCAATAACAGTAAAAAATGACAATATTAATGTTTTCCGATCAAAATACCAATTCCTATGTAACATGATGTAGAATGTCAATAAATATGGTTATTGTCAAATTTGACAACAGTTTCAAATAATTTTTAATTACTTAGTAAAAACCTTTTTTTTTTTCTTTTTTTTTAATGTTTTGTTTAACCATTGTCTTTTCATTTCCTTTCGTTACCAATGAAATGTCTAAATATTTTAGTACCTTTTAGTTCATTTTCTTTCATTACTAATGCAAAGAAAATAAATATAAATTTTTATTTTATATTTAAAATTTGACATATTGGGTGAAGAGTAAAATTTTAAAAATGTCAAAGTGCCACGCAGGCCGTTAAATTTAAATTTTATGTTCAAATTTGGTATCTTAAAAGTTGATCAAATATGTCACTTAATACTACGGTTTAGTAATAATCCTCTTCGCTTGTAAGTGAGAGGTTTTAGGTTTGATTCTCGCCAAATATGAATTCAAACCACTAGTCTATTGTGAGCCTAAGTCCACCACTTCCTCTTAGTATAGATAATATCGTTTGTTTTATTAAAAAAAAAGTTTTATCAAATATTGTTCATTACTACGCTTTTTATTTTGTTAAGTGCAATCCCACTTAAGCTATGTCTACTAACTAGTACATGTGGATGCCGATGTTCAAGGAGAGGATGCAAGTTAAAGAATCCATACAAAGTGAGCCAACAGAAGAATAAGATTAGAACTAAGGGACTAAACAAATAAATTTCATTTAAAAATGGATAATCTTAACCCAAAGCACTTTTTATCCCATTGGGATAATTAACAGCCCTCATTTGGCCTTATTTACGTTATTCAAACCTATCCAAATCTACTTCCACGTGTGGCTCCTTTACACTTTAATTAAACCCTTGTCAACCGTCAATAGCAATACAAATAGACAAATCGTAAGTCCCTGGTGCTCTTAATTTCTCAGCTGATCCGCCAATCCTAGTACTCTCAAAACCCCATTTCATTTTCTCAAACACTTTTGACGTACACACGCACACTCAAACCATCTGAGATGAATGATCAAGGGGCTGGGACTAGCCAAGCAGCACAAGATCATGATGATCATGGTGAAGATCAAGAGCAGATCATCAGGGACATCCATGCCTTGACACCGCCTCGTCCACCGCCTCCCGGCAACCTCGGCCGTAGAAGAGAAGCTTGGGAAACTGGTAGCCATAGATCATCATCTTTGTCCATGGCCAGCACTGAGTTAGGAACAGCTTCAACTGAGAACTTCACTACCATGAGTAGAGAATTCAGTGCTCTTGTGGTTGCAGGGTCAGCTATCGGGACTAATAATAGTACCACCAATGATAGTGACCATGGTACTAATAACAATAATTTGGGAAGGATTGGAGAGGAGGAGGACAACAATATGCCTGAGGAGGAGCTGGAGACCAACCCTTTGGCTATAGTCCCGGATAATTACAACCCTGTGGACCCAGTTCCTTATTCTCCAAGGAATAGTGAGGCTAATAATCATAGAATTGGCTCTTCATCAAGCATGGTTGGGACTCGGGATTACCAAGGCGGCAGCGGCGGCGATCAGACGGTGTCGGTGCATCGGGTGAAGAAGGAAGAGGTTGAAACAAAGATATCGGCTTGGCAAAACAACAAGATTGCCAAGCTTAATAACAGGTTTAAGAGGGAGGATGCTATCATTAATGGGTGGGAAAGTGAGCAGGTACAGAAAGCTTCTTCATGGATGAAGAAAGTAGAGGTACGTACGTTGCTAAAAACTGATTTGGATGGTGATATTTTTGTGCATGTTGGAAAATTTGATTTCCCATGATGGTTTCTCTGACTAGTTGAAACTATGAAGATTTACCACTTTCTTTTTTAGTGACTTCATACTATTTACCGTCCAATTATTCTTGAGATTTGGCCTAAAGTGATCAGTTTTTAGTTTCCTCGTCGATGTGTGATCGCTATGGTGTCACTATTTGATTTTGATCTGTTAAGCTTAATTTCTAATCATTTTAGCTGATTTCTCATTATTCTTTGACGATGCAACTAATCCATCACGAAACAATTAATCATTATCGTGATCATCAAATAGCAATAATAACAATAATGATCTTATACCAATATTTGAACTTTGAAGCTTCTGTTTGGTGAAACTATATTGTCTTAATAATATTTTTATCCTTGCATATGTTTCAATTCACGATAAAACAACTAATCGCAACAAAGTTATAACTTCAATGATAAAGATGTTCATCCTTTTCATAGTCTTATGGCATACGTTGACCTTTGAAGCTTCTTTTAGATGGAACTAACACGTAATTGGGAAGTTGGCCTAACTGATCGTTTTTCATACCTCCCTAGCTGAAATGATTTGATCGATCAATATGTCGTTGATATTTGAATTTGACCAATTCAACTACTGCAGTTCAATTCCTGATCATGTTAACCAATTTTCTTACTTATTCATTTTTGGACGTGTTTCCGCTTTCCTTGAATTTTGGGTAATCTGAAAACGAATACTCATAATATATAGGCCAACTAAATCATCACATAATGTGTGCATGCAGAGAAAGTTGGAGGAGAAAAGAGCAAGAGCCCTAGAGAAGATGCAAAATGATATAGCCAAAGCACGTAGGAAAGCAGAGGAGAGGAAGGCATCGGCTGAGGCTAAGAGGGGAACAAAAGCGGCTAGGGTTCTTGAAGTTGCCAATCTAATGAGAGCTGTTGGAAGAGCACCTGCCAAAAAATCCTTCTTCTAGGCTTCTAGCCCCCTTAATTATTTTTTCATAATATCCCAAACAAATTCCATACCCACAAACAAAACCCAAAAAACAAAAAAAAAAAAAAAAAAAAAAAATTATTTGGGCAAATAAGTGCCCCATGATCATATGATGCAAGGGCCTTTACCTTTTGAACAAAGGCTCCCCTATATGAAACGGGGCAGTGAAGTCAGAGAAATCTGGCAACTATGAATTTTGAGTGTTTTTGGTTGATGCGTTCTTATGAGTATCTTAAGTGTGCTGGAATTTTGGGATGGATTTGCTAGTTACTGTAGTGGAACAACGTCGAGTCTTGTGCAGTTTTCGTATTCTTGGGCAGGAGGTTAAGTGTGATGTTGTAATACATATAATTTCCCACGCCTAATTTGGTGTATTTTATATTCCGCCTATGAAATGGAATGATAATTTGCAGTAATTCTGTATTTGCCATGCCTAGTGGTTTGAATTTGCGAGTAAGCAGAGTATTAAAGTGATTGATTATATCAAAAAGTTGAGTCTGGCCTAAGCCCTACACGGCACACCGTACCCGCTACAGGTAGGTAGCAAATGACAAACGATCTAAGATATGATGAAAAACTCGGTATTCATCTTGTGAAAGTGAAAACTGCTACTTCTTGGAGGCGAACCATCAAAGCAAAGGTAAAACTGCTGGTTCTTGTTTCTTATTTTTTGTCTCAAGATGGGAGCTGGATCAAGACAACACTTCAAGACGCAATCGTCTCGTGCCACTACAAAATTCATGACGATGTTTCCCTCAAAATATTCTTCATATCCAACCATAAGACCGAAAACAAGTGGCAACATCCTCTCCTATTCAACCTAACTCAAACTAATGTAAGCCTGGCAATGAAGAAAGACAGGGCTGAAGGTACCTTCAGACCTAGGACTTTTGGTACCTTCTTACTCTATAATCCTCTGTTACAACAAGGATTTTAGGTGTCCACAGACCAGTATTGAGTAAAAATAAACAAACAAAAGTTTGCTCAGTGCCCGGATTTACGACTTACTTTACAAGCATGAAAGCAGTTCCGTTAATAAAATGCAACACCAGTTTCAAAAGCAAAAGAAAAGATTTTTACAGTAGAAAGCATTTTGTCTTCAGTCCGTGACAACGAACTTGGACCATTTGATATTCTCCAATGTGGTAGCAATGTCCAAAGTTTTGAAACTTTGAAAATTATATATCACCAATATCGGACATATTGTCACCTAAACAGTTGCTACAAATAAGGTCTTATTTGTTTAGTACAAAAACGCAAACGCAAACAGGAAAGATCTTTCCCTTCAAATTCGAACAATGGAAATCGCCCAGATTTCTTTCATGTTTATGATGGGGAGTTTAAGGTTCTAACTTTTAGTTTTGGCTAACCAGGCAAGATAGATGCTACTTCCTATTTGTGTAGTTTGCGTTAAAGCAGATAATATCTCTCACACAGCTCTTCCCATTTCGATCATTTTATTGATTACAAAGTTCGAACTTTCAAACTTTGAATTAGAGATTTTTATCATATACAAACAACAAAGTACGAAAAGACCAAAGTCTAGCACAGGTAAACAAACAGATTTACTTCTTTAATGAGGCCTGAACATTGCTACACACCGGAATCTCTAATTGAATTCAGGTGGCATTTACAGGAAAAAATAGGAGTTCCGTCCAACCGTAAGACAAACTTGTGTGTTTATTTACATAATTCCATCACAGTGTTAAACTTTTACAATCAAGTGAATGATATATCCATATGTCAGCTTGTCTTCTCTTACTAATCTAACTCTAAAGTTGTAAAACAGAAAACAAGTTTCAAGAAAAAAGAGGACCACTTACTGAAACAAAAGCTCCTTGACTGATACTCTTCATCTCGATTGACATCTCCATGTAAGAGAAGTGATCAAGTTCCATGGGCTACATGTGCAATGAATTGTACAAATTGTACTTGCAGCAAATCTCAAAGGAAGACGACGCTGATTGTTTCGACGCAGATATCAGATCTCAAATCAGATGGAGATCGCATCTATCATCACTCATTTGTTTATTAAAACCTTCAATAGATTTGAGTTCTGCATAAATTTCAGCACTTTGTGGATGGCCCATATCACTTGCAACAAAATAATGAAATTTATTACCAACGTCAATCCAGCTGCATCCTGCTTCTTTGTTCATTTTCAAGTCATTCATAATGGTTCGAATCTTTGCAGCCTCATCAAACATACCTCCTCGAGCATACATATTTGAAACAAGTATGTAAGACCCAGCATCCTCAGGTTGCAAGTCAAGCAAATGTTTTGAGGCTAACATGCCATAATTCAAATTCCCACTTATCATGCACACATTCACTAAAGTTCTCCAAAGCATAGGTGAATCTGGAAATGGACTTCTGTGGATGAAATTGATGGCTTCTGAAAAATTCCCAGACCGACCCAGAAGATCCACCATGCATGCAAAGTGCTCAATTCCTGACTTAGTTCCATATTTTGGCTCCATTTCGTTGAATAAGCGTAACCCAGTTTCCCATAGTCCATTGTAACTGCAAGCTTGAAGAGTAGCCAATAGCGTGAGCTCATCAGGGGCAAACCCATCTCCCTTCATTGATTCAAAAAGTGAAAGTGCTTTGTTGCCTTCTCCATGAAGGGCATGTGCAGAAATTATGGCGTTCCACGATATGCAATCACGACTATTCATACCATTGAACATTTGATAAGCTTCTTCAATGCTACCACATTTGGCATACATGGTAATTACAGCATTAGATACAGTGGAATTGGCTTCAAATCCAGCTTTAATAGTGCAAGCATGGAGACTCTTCCCCCTTTCTAAGCAAGCTTCTTCAGCTGCTACACTAAGGAGTCGTGAATATGTTATGAAATCTGGATTTACACCAGACGACCTCAACCGACTAAATAAGACCATGGAATCCTCTTCAACATCTCTACGTTGTTCCATGAATCCAACAAGTACTGCATTAAATGAAGCGGTGTTTTTACCTGAAAGGCCATCAAAAACCTGTCTTGCAGATTGAAGGCTCCCGCATTTAGCGTATATGTCAATCAACGCAGTCCCAACGTTGACACAAGAGTAAAAATCAAGCTTTATGCAAAATGCATGGATCTGACATCCCAATTCCAGATTTCTGCACTCTGAACAGGCATCAATCACGGTAGATAAACAGCTAGAATCAACACAAATACCTCGATCGAGTATTTTTAAGAAAGCATCGAGGGCCATATCCCTACATCCATTTTTTACATACATTGACAAAAGCGCGGTCCAAGAAATTAAGTTTCTCTCATCCAGTAAATAAAACATTGCCTCAGCTTCTTCAACCATCCCGTGCTTTCCGTACATGGTTATTACTGCATTTCCAACAGAAGTTTCACCCACAATACCATACTTGACAGCAAGCCCATGTAATTGCAAGCATTCATCCACACCCACATCTCCATCGCATGCACTAATCAGATTGGTAAAAGTATAATCATTTGGCTCTAAGCCAGAACTCAGAAGATATACAAAGACCCCAATTGCTTTCTCTCCACAGCCCGCCTTCCCGTATTCTAAAATCATATAATTTAAACACTGAACATCTTTGTAATCCATGTCATTGAACACTTTCTCTGCATCACCCAAGAAGCCACTTTTAGAGTACATACAAACCAAAGAAGTGGCCACAACAACATTCTCCTGAAGCCCACTTTTTACAACAAAACCATGAACCTGTTCCCCACTTCTCCTGTCTTCAAGTGAACTACACGCCTCCAAAATCACCGAGCACGTATGCTCATTAAACTTCTCATCGCTGCAAAACATATCATGTGCAACGTGGAAGACAGATTCAAGGTCACCAATGTCAGAATACCCCTTCATGAGAGAAGTCCAAGTGATTGTGTTTCTAACAGGCATTTCATCGAAAAGGTGATGTGCATCATCCAGTCTTTTGAATTTCGAGTACAAGTTGACAAGATTGTTGCCCTGAAATGTGTCATTCTGGCAGCCACATTTGAGTAAAAATGCATGAATTGCCTGACCCAGAATGAGGATTTTGGACCCAATTGAGAGTTGGAGGAGCAGAAGCCAGTCATTGAAGAGAAGTGTGTATTCTCGTTGTTTGAAGAAGGTTGTGCCTTCCAGCCTAGTGCATATATAAGTTGAAATAATCAGATAAAAATGATGCATTACTAAGCAGAAAATTCGACTAATAACTGTCTTTGGCCATAATCAGACAAACAAATGAGAGTATGTATAACACCTCCATGTTACCCACCACCCGTGGGGGCAAGGACAAATTGTTGAACAAATGAAAATTAAACATTAACTTATCAATGTACTTTTGAGTTTCATACTCCTAATCATTTCACAGCCAGACATGTGCATATTATTAATAAGAGAGCAACAGGACAAGCAATTGTGGTACAGAAATATTATGGTCTGGATGTTCAAGCGCAGGTCGATTAATATGCATTATGTATGTAGGATATGTGAGTGTGCAGAGAAATTTCACCTGCACAAGCAGATGCGTATAGTTATAGATTGGCAAATGATGTTTAAACATTTACGGTTATATTTATATATAAATCTATGTATTACATTGTGCAAACTTATGTTGCATCATAACAACTGATAGCTTTTTAAAGAAAAGTATGCTGTAAATATTATCATGCTAGTATCACTTCTGACTCTACTAGCTTATCACTTTTGATTCTACTTTATGCATTTACATTGAATTTATTAAAAGATGATTAGTTAAAGATGAAAATAAAAGCAGGAAAATTTCTACACACCCCATTCCTTGCATATCAAATCAGCCCCACCTGTTGCCAGTAAGCTCAACAACAGAGCCCATATGTTCTTCTGGCACCTCCACAGCGGCGATCTGCAAGCGATCCAAATGACAGAAATGACTGATACCAGACGAGTGGTATGATCTGTAACTCATAACAATATTTGCCTCAAGAAAAGAAAAGTAAGTATTTGGCAATGCTGTTTCTATATTTGTAAAATTGATATTTGCCTCAAGAAAAGAAAAGAAAGTATTTGGCAACACCGTCTCTATATATGTAAATTTGTACAAACCACGGCATCACAGTTTTTATGAATTAAGCGCTGCATTATTATTATTTTTAAGTACTATGACAACGTGCTGATTTGGATTCCAATCATTCAAAATGGAGCAGACGTATTGGTCTTCAACCGGTGACAGTAATTATTTCTACCCTTCACTGTCTTCCTAAACATCAGAAACAATAAAAGTTCAACACAATCACCTCATATGGTTATAAAGGCCCCTCTGAATAGGGATCCTTTCTGAAACTAAAAGGGTGCATCGTTGGTGCCAAATTGCAAAATGGTCTGGGTATCTGAACTATCTAAACTTTAGACTCCCATCTAAGAATAATCCCTGGAAACAAAAAGTTGAAAATTGCTTGGTATTTGAATTATCATCATCTATATTTCAGTTCTTAACAGATAGACTGTGTTCATTATTTATTTAATCATAGTTAGGATGAAGCGATTTCAAATTTGTTGATTTTTTAAAAAGATCCATGAAAAGAGAGATCTAACAAGCGAAGAGGTTGGACCAATGACTACCATGAGGGCTGGGCTACATGTCATCCTCTTGACTTTCATTGAAAGAAATCCCGTAATAAAAGACTCAGTACTTTACAAAATTCAGATCATTTTTCCGAATATCCTAGACAGTTTCACCACTTTGGACTTTGGCTTGTTCATACATATACTCCAAGGGAAAACTAAGGAATTGGGAAAGTTATCATAATCTGAGACAGTAAACATCTATAGAAATTACTACATAAGCATACTGTTCGGCTTGGAATGTCTCCCGCAGGGCCCATGGCGAATTAGAGGGCGAACACAGACCTCACGCCCGACAATCGGTGAAGTGTTTACACCATCCTTGTCAATAGCAGGTCCAGGTATGTTCCTTACGTTACTTCTCCTCATCAACTTACTCCTCTCTAAGACAAGAACCCATTTCCCAAATAGACTAACCTTACCCACCATTCCCAGCCAACACACACACACACACACACAAAATCTACAAAATCAAGCACGAAAACAACCTCTATAGCTACGAGACTATTTCGAAGAAAAATTCTGAAACCAATTTGCTCTAAGTATGAAATTGATGCAGTAAATAGGAAATGAACGAACAGAGACATAGAAATGAAAGATTGCAAGAGAAGATGAAGAAGCGGAAGTACCTGCTGCGGTGGCGGTGGCGGCGGCTTCAGTGGCTTCGGAGACGGAGCATTTGACTGGCGGGTGAGTGGAGAAGGGTTTCGGGGAGCGGAGAATGTGGTGATTTTGGCGGTTGAGGAAGAAGGTAAGGTGAAGGCGTAGAGTTGCTTGGCGAATGTAAGAGAAGAGGAAATGCTAGTGCTTCTAGGGTTCAGGATGGAGGAGGAGGAGCTGTGGAAGCTGCAGGTTGCCATCTCCATGGCTCTCACTCACTGGATATTTTAGTGTTCCACCTTTCTCCATTCAATTTATGGGAAATCTCTTTTACCAAATGATCTTAACTCTTGAAATTTCATTTAACGGTAAAAAATTATTAATTAACATTTTTTTTTAACCATTAGATCAAATTTTAAGAACATGAATCACTTGGGTTGGTGGCTTTGGAAGGAGAAATCTAGAGAGGATCTATTTCCCAATTTATGGGCTTGTTTACTGTCCCTACTTAGATTGAGAGGAATTAAATTGATAAGGAATTGGAATGAGGTGAAATCAGAATCAAATTTCTGTTAAAGACGTTTACTAAAATTGACTAAAATCGAAGTATGAGTGATATTAATTTATATAAACTGTTTAATAATTCACATAAATCGGAATGAAAATTAATGTGATTACTAACATACTCCTATTTTAACTAATTTATTTTATATCTAATTATTTTTAGAAAAACTAATATTTTTTCATTTTTTAGTAGAGAGAATAACTATTTTTTTATTTTCTAATAACTTTTATTCTTTCATTGGTCGTCAGTTACCAACATAAAATAAATCCTCCTATCCTCTCTCTCTCCCCCATCTCTCTAACGCCATGCTGACCCATCCATTTCTAAATTTCCTAGGCACCTCTCTATCTCTTCCTCTATCTTCCCCATCTTTCTCTAATGACCCACCCCTTTTTAAAATTCCACAGGCATCTCTCTCGTCCCCATCTTTCTTTAATGTCGACCCACCCTTGATTGTGAGACCATGATCTTCCCTTTTCTTTGGTCTTCGTCGAAAATATGAGCCTTGTCAAGTAAGGGCTTGAAGGCAGCACCTATGGCCAGCTATCACAATTGCAAGGGCTGCATACACTAACACCGTTTTCATCTTTGGAGTTTGAGGGTATTACCGGTATCAAATTTGGATTCCTGATGGACACCACTTCCAGGAATTCAAATACCTCCTTCCACTTAAGAATCAGACTCCGGCCATTTCAGGAGTTGAATTCCCAATTTTATGTGGGTCCTACGATTATTTTGATCACTCCTGATGGTTGGGTAAACGCTGGAATGTTTGGGGATATGTGCAATTCTGGTTCCCACCATTCCATTCCCCTTTGGTAAACATGCCATATAACCCCCAATGGTTGTACATGGACTCTCACCCTTTTTTATTTCACATTCACTCCTCTCGTATTTGAACGGTCACGACTGGATCACGTTAACAATTTGTGTTGCTTTATTTATAAAGAGAGAAACGTAAAGTAGAAAGTGTGAAAGGAAAGTCTGAAATAAAGGCGAGAAAATCCTATTCGTCCCATTGAACATGTACACATAGAAACCAATTAATTATGGCTACTTGTTCAATTTAATGACTCGTTTACGTAATAAAAAAAAAAAAGCAAGAGTGAAATTTTATTTGAACTCATATAACATCTTTCTACACTCAACTTACTCTCTATACTCATATTATTTTTAATGAAATTATCAATATCTCTTTAAATCCAAATTTATTACATAAACTATCCTCACAAACCCAATTCAATATGTAAATTTATCTACAGACCAAAACCTTCTCCAACTCATTCAAAGCATAAAAGAGAGCAACCAAATGAATGATGTTTATTTCATTGATCAGAGTATAATGTCCATACATATTTGGAGTCGTGTTTGATGAATTGATCAAACAAGCAATCTGGAATTGGAAAGTTATGTGAGTAGAAAAGATTAGATGAAGTGCAGTCCTTTTATGCTTATCTCATACAATGGAAATCGAGTTGGGTTTTAAATTGGATTCCCATTGTTCTTACCTCATTGCCGCTTCATAAACAAGATTTATTCAAACTCAAGCATTGCCACAGTAATTACACTCTCCTTGATGAATTACATAACTCAATATCATTTTATGAATACAAGCACACAATAGTAATAATAATTATATAAATACAGAAAATATATAAAATGGGTTCTTTTGTCTGGTTTGTAATGTTTATTATGCCCAAATGCTTAAGCTAGTATTAGGGGTGTCATGAATTCATTTGGATAGCAATTGTTGTTGAGAGGCATTTCCATGAATATATCCATTGTGATTGCCCGCACAATTCATGTTCCCTTTTACCAAAAGACAGAATGCTCTGTAACTAGTTGGTGAATCCATACATTAATCTAATAAGATGATTAGCTCACCATCAAGTTACTTTAGTAGAGGTTCTAGAAGAAAAAGAGCCTTTCAATAATAGTATAGCTTCTAGAAAAAAATAGAGTCTCGAACAAGAAGAAAAAATTGGTCAAGTGAAATGACGTGTTTCTCGACCTTTATTACATCTACTTATAGAGGTTCTCTTGTTCCAGTCATCCTTCTTTGCCGACCATGGGGATTGCTGGGCAACAGAGGACATATTTGAGGTCAGCAAACAATGGTTGATGTGGGTGTTCACAGTAGACAACATGTGGTTGCTTCAAAGGATTAAATCTTAATGGGAATCAACAATTTTAGTACTAAAAGATTAAGCTGGTGAAGGAAGGTTGAAAATACATAGTAGACTAAAGTATCAAGAAAGATAGCCCCCTTATTTATATTCAATGAAGATGTCAAGAAAGATAGGCTCCTTCTTAAAGCCATTTTTTTTTTTTTCAGATTCTGAATTTAATGGAGCCTCATGCCCTCGGTGGTTTATTGATTAGTGTGTTTATAGGTAAATTTTAATTATATTGTTAATTTTATTTTGTACTTGATGGTAATTTTGTAATAGATTAAAAAAGACATCTCACATTTAAAATTTAAGTTGGGTGTAGAATGAGGTTATATGGGTTCAAATAAAATTTCTCAAAGCAGAATCAACATCACTATCATATTATTAGTAGCAGCATCTCTAAAGCCTTGGATTGGAGCATAACCATTTCAAGTGCCCAATACTCGTCCATCATAGGTGTAAGGCGACCAACTTCTACATCGATGTAAGGCGACCAATTTCAATATCGATGATCTTGATCTCAGGATTCTTCTTTCATTTGAGTTTTTTAAAAGATATTAGCAGGTTTCAAACCGCGGTGGACCACACTCATGAAGTGACAAGACCATAAACCTTTACAAATTTGTCTGAGAAGGTTATTGATCATATGTGAAGGTACTTCACGCTTCAAATATGTTTTGATTGCCTTTCATAAGCTTAAATTCTAAGCAAATGCATTTCAAGGGGAAATGACGTCTGTAAAGATATCAGCTGGTGATCCAAGTGAAAAGAATACAGTGGTTAAGATTGTGTCATCTGTCATTAGATGAAGATGGTTGTTATAAAGGTAGTTAGGATTGTAGTTTGTTGTCATATGGTGCTAGCACATTGTATTAGCTTAACTAGTAAGCTTTGTAGTGGATTAGTATATAACTCTTTGTAAAACCATTCTTTTTAATGAAGAAAGAACAATTCACAAAACTCTCAAGCTTTCTCTCTTTAATTTCTCTGTGCATTCTTTTTTGCATAACTTTGCATTTCTTTAATTTTCACATAGTATTAGAGCCAATAAATGATTTGGCACTTCCTCAATCTCATTGAAAAATTCTCTCTTCTCTTCTCAATCCTTTAGTTTGTACACCTTCTGAGATAAAATTGGGCAAATACAATCATCTGATTCACAAGAAAATTGGAGTTCTTGATCACGAAGATCAACTGTTTGACAAAACGCAGCAGTGAAGAAATTTTTCTAAATCTACAACAATGGTTACAACAGCGTAGCTGCAAATTGTTCAATTACTAATTACTAGTCTTATTTCAACAGTATCGACATCTGTTACAGTGAAATTGGATGACACCAACTACTTGACATGGTGTTTTCAAATCACATTACTTCTTGAAGGTCATGGGATCCTGGAATTTGTGGATGACACCAATAAATGTCCATCAAGATTTGTCAATGATTCAAATGTGGAAAATGTGGAGACAGATGCCTACCAAGTTTGGAAACTGTACGATCGTGCAATTATGTTGCTTATTACTGCAACTATGTCATCAACTACATTGTCTTGTATCATTGGTAGTAATAGTTCTAATGAAATGTGGGTGAATCTCAAGGAAAGGTTCTCATTTGTGACTAAAGCAAGTATCTTTCAATTAAAGACTTAGCTTCAAAACATCAAAAATTGGTCTGATTCAATTTCTAAGTACCTAAAGAAGTTTAAAGATGCAAGAGATCATCTTGGAGCAGGTGGGGTTGTTTTTTAAGATGATGATATCATCATTCTTGCTCTCAAGGGTCGCACTGCAGAATACAACATATTTCGATGTAGGCAGGAAAAATGGCATCTCCATCAAAGATTTTCATTCTTAGTTGCTTGCTGAAAAAACAACTATCAATCAATATCTGTCAATTTTTTCTCTAATCACAAGGCCCACCCAACTACCACAGGCACCACAACAATGAAACTTGTAATCCACCCATGCAAACTTTTGTATTGCATATAATCAGAGGCATCAAATAGCAAAATTATTAAAAGTACAATCATATAATTTGGTAAATTAAGATATGATTGGTGGTGAGCGGTTCTCAATGTTAGAAATCTCATGTTTTTGGGGAAATTTTTTTGTTTTACTTTGATTCATCATGAACTTGTTAACAAAGTAGGAGTGGAGAGGTGGAGCCCATCAGGGAAAGCTGATTAGGACGAAGGAATACAAGTTGCAGAATATATCTTTAGCAATTTTCAGGAACAATATTTAAGTACTTTTATGTTAAACTTTGGTTAGAATTATTAAAAAAAAAAAATTGCCTGAAATTCTATTCATGGTCCAAATTTTGGTTAGTTTTCCAAATTTATCAAGAAAAACTTAATGAAAGCTGATACGTTAAAGGAAAATGCATAGATAGATCACTTTCTTAACAACGGGAGAGTTAAATGTAGAGAACAACTAAACCCTTAAAACAACCTAACCTAACGCATTTGAAGGAATTAATTTAAAACAAAGTTACATAATTTAAAACACACTGTAAATTTATAGTTCTTGTTCGACCCTTGACAACCTATACCCTTAACTAATAACTTGTGCTTCTTTGA